GGGGAGAGCCGTGGGGCAGGCCCCGGGATGGGCTGCTAGGGGGATGCTGTGGGCCAGGTCCCATGACCAGCGGCAGGAGCAGTGCCATGGGGCAGATCCTGGGGTCTGACTCCCGTCAGACATTGAACCCATCAGTCAGTTTTGTGTCCCTGCCATTCCCCGTCTGGGACAAAGAGGAGCCCAGCGCTGCCTGGGCACCGGCTCCGGTCTGAGAGCAGGCGTCGTTCCTCCCAACCCCGCTGCGTTCTGCGTGCCAGCCTGGCGGAGTCCGACGCTGCTTTATTCAGCCTCAATTATACCCTGCTGTAGCCAGCTAATAAACCCCAGGGACACCCAACCCCTAATCCCCCGCGGTCTGTCGCTCTCTCCTTCCCCCAGCTCCCCCTCCTTTCCCCTCCCCTTCCCCCCTTGCTCTCTGCGAGCAGATCTCCCCGTCCCCACCTCCGGCCTCCACTTCCTTTGTTGCTGTGGCTGTGAAACAACCCCACGAGGGGTGGGGCAGAACCGATCTGCGGCGAGGGGCCTGTTCTGGCCCCGGCGCAGACCCGTGTTCTCATCCGCTCGCCGGGAGCCAAGACGCAGTCAGCTGAAGCAGCAGTTTGGAGCAAGCCACAAGCAGCTTGGCAGGCCCTGGGATGAAATCCTCCACAAGCCCCCGAGGGAACATTATCTTCTACGGGGGAAGGAAACGCACACGGATGTGCTGGAATGGCCCTGGGACGGGCTAGCCCCTGGCTTTGCGGGTCAGTACCAAACCACTGTCCCAGGACCAGCTAGAGGGCGCTGGGCTGTCTTTTGCAAGAGCTGGGGCATCAAAGTCTTGGAGGTCATTAAAGAGACCAACAAAACAGGGTTGTTAGTCCCCTCGTTCTAGTCCATTCTGCCTCCCTAGATTACTCCAACGGTTTCGACCGGCGTCCTTCATCCACTGGACTAAACTGTCGTGCGGCATTGCAGCGCGTTGCTACGTTCCGCCCTAGAAGTGGCTGCATGAGCCCTCTGGAGAGCCTGTAGATCAGCCTGCGAGGTGACCAAAGAGCCAGCAGAACCAAAATATCTGATCCGAATGACTCCGTGATGGGTTCTCAATGAGGGATCGATTGCTGGGAGGGGAGCGGTTAATAGGATGCCTGTTCTAGTTTTACTGAACATAAGAACGGCCACACTGGGTCAGACCAATGGTCCATCTAGCCCCATATCCTGTCTTCTGACAATGGCCAATGCCAGGCGCTTCAGAGGGAACGAACAGAACAGGGCAATTAGCGAGTGATCCATCCCCTGTCGTCCACTCCCGGCTTCTGGCAAACAGAGGCTAGGGACACCCAGGGCATGGCGTTTTGGCCCAGCTCCAGCAGAAATGCCCATGTGTTCACCAGCGGGAGCTGCTCCCCCACTCTGCTGCACATCAGGGTCCCTGAAAAGCACTCCTGGATCTGCCCAGGGCCAGCCCTAGGCGTTTTGCTGCCCAGGGCATAAAATGTTTTGCTGCCCCAAGCAGATGAGCAAAAAAACCCACCCCAGCCGAGCAATGTGGCACCTCCGACAATTGGTGCCCAAGGCAACCCCCCTGTCTGCTTGCCCCTACAGCTGGCCCTGGATCAGTACTCCAGGGGGATGGAGGACACAGACTGAATTAGGGCATCCGGTCCATCCCCCAGCCAGTACAAGGGCATGCAGTCACAGCTGGGTTACTGCCGTCAGTCCTGGGCAGCATCCGAAGAAGTGGGTTGTAGCCCACGAAAGCTTATGCTCTAATAAATTTGTTAGTCTCTAAGGTGCCACAAGTACTCCTGTTCTTTTTTCTAGAGACACAGGACTTCAGAAAGAAGCGACAAACTCCATCAAGGATTGGCGGAGAAGGACAGATTGTAACTGCCTCGCTGGGTTGAGCGATGACTAATGGGGGGATGTGATAATAGCCTACAAGTGTCTGGACAGGGCAAGTGTCACGATCCTGCCTGGCTCGTTGAACCCGGGGGCTGCACCATTAAAAGCATGAACGTCACTGCTTGAGGTAAAGGAGTAACTCCCCTAGCTGGCAGCTGTAGTAGACTGTTATCCCCTAGATGGTAGAGGCATCAAAGACTCCACTCTGCTCGCATGAGAGGCAGCTCGTCCCAAGCATCTGAGAGCAGGCGTTCAAGTTCCACTCCAGGTGCTACTTTTGCAACTTTCCCCCAGGGGACCATCAGGAGGGTTTGACCCAGCATTACAAGCACCAGCTGCTCCTTCTTCAAGTAAAGGAGTAACTCCATTCATGTGAACTAGGCTGGACAAAGGCTTGGAGAATGGACTGCACGCTACTTATGGCTTTAATCCCTGCCACTTGGGTCATTAAAACCCAACGCGAACAGCACTCTGGAGAATGTAAACTTTAAAAATACCCAGATGGGTTACAGGAGATTGGACATTGCAAAGAAACACCTGCCCTGGCCCAGGAGTGGGGGACAGGACAAGGTGGGACCTAATAAATCTCTGGCTACAAGGATCCTACAAATCCTTGGAAAACCCAACAAAGCCAAGAAGGGAACCAACACGAGACACCTCACCTTGTATGCAGCTTCCCTCATGAACTGCTTGGCTGGCTGTTTCCAGATGGCAGGCACTGTAATCACCCAGCGGATGGCCTCTTTCTCTTGCAAAGACGGACACTGGTCCTTGAGCTCCTGTCATAAAAGAAGCAGAAACTGATAGCCAAACCCCATGCTTCAGGGCATACAATGATGGCCTATGGGTGGGTCAGGAAGGAATTCCTCCATGGATGCCATTGTGCCACTGGATGGGTCAGGGCCGGCTCCAGGATTTTTTCGGCCCCAGAGGCGGGAGAAAAAAAAAAAAGCCGTGATCGGTGGCACTTCGGCGGCAGCTCTACCGTGCCGCTTTCTTCTTCGGCGGCAGGTCCTTCCCTCCGAGAGGGACCGAGGGACCTGCCGCCGAAGACCCTGACGTGCTGCCCCTTCCCCTTGGCCGCCCCAAGCACCTGCTTGCTGCGCTGGTGCCTGGAGCCAGCCCTGGGATGGGAGACAGGCGAGTTATTGGCCCAGGACAGCAGCATTCCTAGTCAGGCAGACAGGCTAAGGGAATGAATGGGTCATGGAAAGAACTCCCGGCTGAGTTCTGGAGCTCCGGGTGAAAGCTGTGTTGGGTGGGGGATGCTTGCCCGGACACTGCCTCTGTTGCATCTCCTCCGTGGGCTGGCGCCTTTCACCCACACTAAGTTCACACAAAAGAGGGCAAAGCAGCCCCTTTTGGGCTCGCTAGTCCCTGGGCAAAGTCCTGCCACCCTGACGTCGGAGTTAGCATCCTCGCCTGGGACAGCTACTGCTCATCTCTTGATTAGTTCTGTCTGGCATGTCCCCTGGGAGCTTGCAGCCAAATCCACAGGAGGGTGATTTCCCTGGCCCATGCCAGCTCTGCCGGGGTTTATCCCCACTGGGAAATTCCCCAGTATTTGCCGCTGACTCCCAGGCCTTCCCCCCGCCCCGGGGAGCTGCACTACCTGCACGGCGTGCTGCTTGAAGAAGCGAAGGGCGTGTGCAAACACCTCCAGCGCCTGGACCTTCTTCCCATTCACGGCTTCTAATTCGGTTTTCATGGTGAGGTCCTAGCAAAGCAAGACAAACAGCCGGAGATGGTCAAGGCCTGAGCCCCGGCCTGCCCCTAGGAGCATGCCCGGCACAGAGCAGGTAGGAGGGAGCTGGATTCTCTGGTGGAGGGTGTGACAGATGTGGAAATTTCCTGCAATGTCCTTGAAAAACATTATTCAACGAAGTGAAGTCTCCTTGGAGGCCATTGCAAAGGTTCTGTGTTACTGGGGCCCGGGCGAGCAAAGGCCTGTACTGAACCATGTGGCAGCCATGAATGGTCTTTTGGGACAATGTACGTGAAGAGCATTTCCTGGGAAACATCGGGGGGCAGGGTGTGAATGCAAATTCCTCCCTGCCCCTGTTATGCAAACCCCAGCCTTTTGAAGCTGAGGAAGGGACCAATGTTTACGGATTACTGTTCCCTGACTCTGAAGATCAATGGCCCAGGCTGGATAAAGGAAAGATTCACCTACGCACGGGGGTGCTTGTTGTGGGCTGAGGTTGTTATGAACTTGTGCCCACAGAAAAACCCCTTGGTGGGGTCTGAAGGGCTGACTCCTGCTGGAGGGCTTGCTGGAGCTGGGGTGATCACTGGGAAGCTTATTAGCATGTGCAGCGGGTCTTTTAAGGCGTTTCGTATGGTTTCTCCGTGATGCTTTTACCATCAGAATAAATGTGCTTGCGCAGCAAGAGCTGGGTGGTAACGTCTCGCTGTGGGCAATGACGCTGTCTGTAGCCTCTGGAGAGATAGCAAAGCGTGGGCGCTGGCCTGGTTGGGCTTGCTGAGAATAGCACAGTGGAGGCAGAGAACTCTGCAGCCTGGAAATACCCCAGGCAGGAGGGAGAGAGATGCAGGTCTCCGCCCAAGAGAGGTGATGGCTGGGGGGCCAGCTGCCTTATCGAGGCAACGGAGGGGAAATGCAGGTGCAGTTGCCCTGAACTGTGACAGAGGGACTGTGCCAAATCCAGCACCTGGAGCGCTGACAAGGAGCTGGGTACTGTGATCTCATGAGCTGCTGCTAGAGGTTCTCATCCTCGCGGGGGGGAAGGGCAGTCACTTAGGCCTCCCAATTGACCTCAGCAAGAGCAGGATCGAGCCCAGTGTTCGGCCACGTGGCTAACTTCTCCATCTGATCGTAGCTGGAGCAAGCGGAACGGCGAGCCCGCCCAATCAGCAGAGAGGAAACCAAACGCCCATTACCTGGAAGGTGCCGAGGTGCCCAACCCACTGGTGCGTCCCCTGCAAGGATGAGGGGGAAGAGCTACACGGAATTACCACCCCCGGGTGGCGGTGAGGCAGGGCGAAAGGCTGGGGAGTGCAGGCAGGAATGAGGAGGGATGGAGCTCCACCCATGGGAGGTGCTACAGGAGTTGGTGCAAAAAGATTCCATTCAGAAGTGTGTGAATTCGGCATCATGGGGAATAGCAGGTTGAGATCTGCCCTCCCCTGCTCAGTGATAAATCTACAGTTGTGAGGGCTAGAACTTAGCTCCTCCTGCTCCAAAACCCACAGGGCCCTAGTACGCAAGCTAAAGGGGGATCCGAGAGCTACGGAGGGTCTATGACATAGACTTGATCAGTTCGGTTCCCACCCAGCAGAGGGCAGTGGGGCACATACTCCTGTCAACAGCCCCCACTGGAATCACTCAACATTTGTTCAGTTATAAAAGTTGGACCAAAAAAAAAATCATGAAATGTTGTTGAATTTTCCACTTCCCCATAATTAATTATTATTATTATTATTATACAAACTAGAGAGCTGGGTGAATTTGTTACTGAAGTTTGACATTTTGAATTTTAATGAAAAAAAATAAACCAGCCAAAAGAGAATTTTGAAACACTCCCTCTTCCCGCCCCCTTGTTTTTCACCCAGCGTTAGCCCTGAGGGTTAGTTAACTCACCCTTCCCTTCCCTTTGCATCATAAACTAGTTACTGAATTAGCTAAACAACTCTGCAAATTCACAGCCCCCAAAACGACAGCAAATTTGTGAAATTTAATTTTTAAAAAATCAGTGAAATTTCACACTGGGAAAAAAGTAAAAATCTTGACAATATGACAAAAGTTACTTTAATACTGGAATGTTTTTTAAAGTGAAAGTGAGTTATCCCACCCCACCCCATCCCATCTCATCTACCCCTCCCCTGTGTTCAGGGTGACTGGGACAGAAAGGGTTAACTTACACTAGTGCTGTGAATCTTCATCTTAAACTTCTCAAAGTAGAGCCAATCCCGGGCTTCCTCCGGATCGAGATCGTGGTAATAATCCCTCGCTGTGTATCCGAAACTGTGAAAGGCGCCCTCTGGGGTCAGCAAGAGGCTGGTGGGGGTTTTCTGATTGGCCACTCCAGGATCACCCCCCTCCCATTTCCTGCAATGAGGAACCAGATCAGATTTAATGTCCCGCCTCTTAAAGGTGACAGGCACCATTTATAATAACTAAGACTTTCTCTGAACTCCTGGTGGGAGTGGCTAGAAAACCCAGCCAGAGGCTCCAGGAGGGATTGGTTGGTAATAGGGTACAGAGCCTCTCTAGTATTATTATTTATTTATATTACCATTGTATTACTAGGCTCGGACCAGCATCCCACTGCGCTAGGGGCTGTACAAATACAGAACAAAAAGCCAATCCCTGCCAGAGACAACTGCTACCTGCTGATAGTTGGGGGCGGGGGGGGGGGGGGGCACAATTTAAAAATTCCCCCCCCCGGAACAGCTTGAGGCAGGCCCCCCCCCCCCCAAGTAGACGCCCTCCTCAGTGGACCCTTCCTGCAACTCCCAGCTGTTTACGGCTGCCTCTTCCCGCGGCTGCGGCTTGCACCTTGCCAGCTCCAGGAGCTGCCGCACAGCCCGGCTGGAAAACCCTGGCAGAAATGTGGGGGCGGAGGGGGGCACATGACCCCGCGTGACACCTCCACACGTGGCCTCTAGTCCCTGCCCCAAAGAGCTTACAGTCTATATATATATATATATGAGAAGCCACAATGGGGGGAGTATGAGGAAACTATGGGACAATATTGGTCAGCTTAACCGTTTTGTAGGCCTCAAGGCAAAGGAGAGTTTGGAGGAGGGATTCGAGGTAGCTTTGTGGAAGTTTACGGGGAGCTTCTCCCAAGCCTGAGGGGTAGCCAGAGCGAACGCACAAAGGGGCTTGTTTAAGAATTTAACGAGTAGGTGATGGCGGCTGGCACCATGGGCCGTCGGAGGCAAGCCTTGATAGTGAAGGAGAGATGACGGGTGGGTGGGGGTAGGTCGTAGGGCCCCGAAAGTGACGACAAGGACCGGATGTCTGATATAATAGAGAACAGGGAGTGGTTCAAATCTGGCCCAGGTTGGAAGATGGCCAAAAGCCAGGGCTGCCTGACAGCTGTTCAGTGGCCCGGGTCTCAAATCAGTCAGAGACTCCTCCTTGGCAGGGCCGGCTTTAGGCCAATTCCACCAATTCCCCCGAATCGGGCCCCGCGCCTAAGAGGGCCCCGCGCCCAGCGGCAGGGCCACCCAGAGTGGGGGGCAAGTGGCAGAGAATCCCTTCCTTGGCTAGAGGCGCCTTTTTAATTTTTACTCACCCGGCGGCGTTCCAGGTCTTTGGTGGCACTTTGGCGGCGGGTCCTTCACTCGCTCCGGGTCTTTGGCGGTGGGTCCTTCAGTGCCACCGAAGACCCGAAGCGAGTGAAGGACACACCGCCAAAGACTAGGAGCGCGGCCTAGGTGAGTACAAGCCCCACGTGTTTTTTTTTTTTAGTCATCCCTGTCGGGGCCCCGTCGAAACTGTTCAAATCGGGCCCCGCACTTCCTAAAGCCGGCCCTGCTCCTTGGGTTTTTGCCGGGATAGGTGCCCCCAGCACAAATCTGGCACTAATTGGGCACCTGACTGGTAGTCTCAGCAGAACAGGCCAAAGACGGAATGAGCTGGACATGTTAGGACAGGGCAGCATGGGAGAGTCTTGCCTTATCACTACCCGTCCTGGGGATAAAGAGAGGACTTTGAGATTATCACCTAGCCTCATCCACCAACGTTATTTTGCCTACCTACATAAGAACATAAGAACGGCCAGACTGGGTCAGACCAAAGCTCCATCCAGCCCAGTATCCTGTCTACCGACAGTGGCCAATGCCAGGTGCCCCAGAGGGAGTGAACCTAACAGGCAATGATCAAGTGATCTCTCTCCTGCCATCCATCTCCACCCTCTGGCAAACAGAGGCTAGGGACACCATTCCTTACCCATCCTGGCTAATAGCCATTAATGGACTTAACCTCCATGAATTTATCCAGTTCTCTTTTAAACCCTGTTATAATTCTAGCCTTCACAACCTCCTCAGGCAAGGAGTTCCACAGACTGACTGTGCGCTGTGTGAAGAAGAACTTCCTTTTATTTGTTTTAAACCTGCTGCCCATTAATTTCATTTGGTGGCCCCTAGTTCACAAAAGCCGCCGCCTGGCCAAGACGGGGTCCTCACCCAGCCAGGACCAGGATTAGAACCCAGGCTCCTTTGCTCCAATCACTAGACTCTACTTAAATGGCCCACGCTAGCTCTTTTCGATTGCTAGGCTCAATAATTGTGAGCAAAGTGCTCTGTCGTTTGGGATGCCCCTGAGCCAGCCAGAACGCTACTGATTTGAAAGGCTCCTTAGTAATTAACCAGCGGGGTCCAGCTGGTGGCCAGAGGGAAGAAGGTGGCAGGGTGGGAGATGGCTGGGCTGCGAGGGGAGGTGCTGGGTGAACTATCAGCCAGCTGGAGGGAGGAAATGAGCGGTAACCCAACGCTGCGAGGTCAGCCCTCAATGAATGGAATCTCGGCCGCCACAACAGCCCGGCCCCCTCCCTGTCTGGAGCTAACTGGGCTGCGAGCCGTCGACAGGAAGGATTAGGGGCAGGGATAGGAGTCTTAAAACGCACCAGTCAGTTTATTTATTACTTGCTAGTCCCTGGGGCACCAGCCCGGCGCTCCGGCCAAGCGTCTGTGTTCCCACCCGCGCAGAGTGCTGGAGGGAGACTTCTCCTGTCCCAGCCCCCTCCTCCAGCCTCTGCCACGCTGACTGCTCCTCCTTTAGCCTCTTCCGCCCCGTCCGCGCGCCATCTCCTGCCCCCCCAGCCCCTGTTACAACCTCTCTGGGTACATCTACGCCACGATCAAAACCCCGTGGCACCCGGTCTTGGAGCCTGGGTCGTAATGTAGGCGTCCCCTCTGGCTCCTTTCCCTCAGCCTTCCAGCACCCAACTGTCTCCCTGCCCTGGTTCTGCATCCACCGTACCCCTCTTCCCCTCCTCCGCGCCCCCGGAGCCTGCTGCCTCTGCTTCCTCGCCTCCAAATCCTCTGGCTTCCACTCACTCCACCCAGCTCGTCCTCACTAATGGCCCAGCCCGAGGGCCTCGACTGTCTGGCCACCGCCTTCAGCTCCCTCCACCACGCCCGTCTCCGGGACTCCCTCCCCTCAGGGTTTTGTGGTGGAGTCACAGTGGCTCCCGTCCTGCCTCCGAGACAGCTCCCTCAGCAGCTCCCGCTCTTCCACTCCCGCTCTCCGTGGGTGTCCCTCAGGGCCGCCCTCCCCAGCCAAGCTCATCTGCTCTCTGGCTTCAATTAACAATGATAATAGGCCATGGAAAAGTCCCCCTAAACAAGGAGCCAACGCTTCTGGCTCCCGGTGGTCCTGTCCTCTGCCACGGATGGCCCCATGGTCCCAGGTGAATCTATCTGGCCAACCTGTAAGCCTGGCCCATTGTCGAAGAGTGCCCCCCTGTGCATACCTGGAGGTTGGCTGCCCTCAGACCTGCTCTGTCAAAGCAGTCGATGTTTGGGAATAGGCACCTCTGGTAAGACACGGAAAAGTCCCCTATTTGTCCACCCCGGTTGCTCCTCCACAACTGAAAGGACCTCACACACCATCTGCCTCTCTGGGGGTCAGGGGCTTCTGCTGCTGCTGTCAGGACTTCTTGGATCGTTTAAAGCAAGAGGCCCTAATTGCTTAGAAGCCTGAGCTGGGATCTAGCTCCCGAAGGATGGATGGTCTTGTGGTTGAAGCACTGTACAGTGACTCAAGAGATCTGGGTCCCAGTTCTGTCACAGACCCTCTCCGTGAACTTGGACAAGTCACTTAATCTCCCTGCGCCTCCGTTTTCCCCATCTAGTCAACCCTGTGGTGGTAAGGGCCATGCAAGTGGATAGATAAGGTGGTGTCTCTGTGTAGCAGCTTTCTCTTGGCCAGAGTCCTGTTGATTGCTTTTGGCAACTAGCTGAAGGAGGTATTGATAAATACATGGGCAGAGGACATGTGGGGATGGCTGGCTGGGGGAGTACAAGAAAAAAATATATGGAGATATACCTATATCTCATAGAACTGGAAGGGACCCCAAAAGGTCACTGAGTCCAGCCCCCTGCCTTCACTAGCAGGACCAAGTACTGATTTTGCCCTAGATTCCTAAGTGGCCACCTCAAGGATTGAACTTATAACCTTGGGTTTAGCAGACCAATGTTCAAACCACTGAGCTATCCCTCCCCCTGATTGTTTGAGGGAGGGACGACTCAGTGATAGGGAGAAGGGGAAACCATCCAACAGGACAGGGTTAACAGAGCAATCCTATTCCCCAGCTGCTTTGGCGACCCTGCTAAAGCCAGTGGATGCAGAGAAAGGCCGGACGTCCGCCCGCTGTAGCCCCCAAGCCATCCTCCCGCAGAGCGATGTTACCTCATCATGTGAATGGCCTCGGGGTCGTTGGAGAAGCTGAAGGCATAGCCGCTGGAGGTCGTGCCAAAGTCAATGGCCACCACCACGGAGAAGGAAGTGGGTCGCTGCGCCCGGGCTTCGTTCCTCTGAAACACCACAAGGATCGTTAGGAGCAACCAGAGTGGACCAGCACAGGGTCCATCGAATCCCGGCTCTTGTCATGAGCACTGGCCAGTGCCAGCTGCTTCAGAGGAAAGGGCAAGAAATCCCACAGTACGTAGTTACGGGGTAACCGGCCCATGGGGAAAGTTTCCTACTGAGTCCCAATAGTTCCAGGTTGGTTTATGCCCTGAACTATGGGGGTTTATATCCTGTCAAAACCCTTGGGGTTGTCACTCCTCACAAATGTAACTCTGGATGTTCTCATTAGCCATATACAAATGTCCAACCCCCGCCCCCCTTTTAAAAAAAATCGAACTAAGATCTGGGTTTCACTAGGATCTTGTGGCAATGAGTTCCACAGGCTAACTGTGGAAGGTAAACAGAGGATTGTGGATAGGGCTGGAGAAAGAGGAACTGTTTACACTCCCTAACTCTCTGCACCTCCTGTGGGAGCTGACTAGAGGGTCTGTCATGTTTATTATCAGAGAAGGGCCTGAACCAAACCCCCATAAAACTGAACCCTCCCAAATGCTGGAAGAGTTTGGACCCAGATGTGAACATTGTTGGTCAGACTCATCTTCAGTGACCTCAGATACATAAAGACGTCTCTCCCCTGCGGGACGCCCTACCGCGACTGAGCCTTTCTCCCGTTGAATAACGGAAGATATTGTTGATGTCGTTATGTGGCCATTGAAGCTTCATAAACAATTAGGATTTGCCTGACTGGTGCACCCCAGCAAACCATCTTGTACAGTATTCTGTCTCCAACAAGAGCCAATGTCAGGTGCTTATGGGGAAGGTATAAGACCCCGCAATGCAGGCGACTGCCAGATTGTCCCATGCAGGAAAAGTTCCTTCCTGATGCCAGCTAATGACCACTTTATGCCCTGAGGATGAGGATTGGTAGCCCTTGTATCAGGTGTCTGATCTCCTCTGTCAAAGCAGTCAGTGTTTGCTGATAGACATCTATGGGGAGATACTGAAAGGGCCTTTCGGTCCACCCCTCACCCTGCCCCACACCTCCAGGATCTTTGCCAGGCTCAGGAGATTTCACTGCTGCTGACATGACCTCCCGCCCATTCTCTGACACTGGGCCACTTCTTGGCTGGCCACTTCCTCAGAGAACTGGCCCACAGTGTGCAGTGGGGCCGACCAGACCATGCCCTACAGCCCGTAATTTGGTAGCTGGACCAATTCAACAAGGCCGTGGATGGTGGCAGAACATGGCCAGAGAAGGAGTGGAGCAAAGAACAATTCGATGGCCACGCTCAAGGAGCTGCACCCCAGGGGTACCCCAGATGACCCGGCGGTGGCGTTAAAGGGGGTCTGTGGCTTACAGGTGACTGGGAGGGCGTGAGCGGCGCGATGCTGCAGCTCTCATTGTGCATTCCCGGGGAACTGGGCGGGGACGGCGTCTGAGAGCTCTCGCCGTTTGTACCTGGCAAACAAACAGAATAAGGATTAGAACAGCACTGGATCCATTCCTGCAAACCGCCAGCACCGTGGCAAAGGCACCAGGCCCTGCCAGTGACTCTTACGTGACATCAGGCCCGTTTACTGCTCTGTTTCCCCACCTGCGCTGGGGAGAACGATGGGCCTTTTAACGCACTGCACGCTGTGGCTCTCTAGCCCCTGCTAGTGCCCTGACCGCATTCAGAGTCTGTCTTCACTGCCCGGATAGCCCAGGTGATTGGCACCGGGTCTGGGCACCAGGTTAGCCTCGCCTGAGCGTGTGCATGCACGCCTCAAAATCCGACCCATGTTACTGTGACCTCACCGTTTCTGTACTTGCCCTTGTGTGTCTGGGGGCGTATCCCACAATTCTTTGTGTTCAGACGCTCTAGGGGTCTTTCCCAGTCAACAGCAGAAGAACTTGTCTCTCCTTTGGGGGGAATTGTGGGAAGTCAATGGAGGACTATCAGCACTCCAGTGATTTTTGCATTTGTGCTGCAAAGCGGGCAGGTTCCAGACTGAGTTAAAGCAGGGCCTGGGCTCTAACCCCAATGGGACCAGTGAAATTGATTGGGAGGAAAAATTCAGACAGATGAAAACCGGGAGTCCTTTAAGAAGAGTTTACTAGATAGCCAAAAAATCACGATTCCATAATTTTGGGTAAAAGCCAATCTTGGTTAAGAGGGGAAGTGAAGACAGCAATTAGAAATAATAACAAATGGACAAAAAGAGGAAGTATATAGTAATTAATATATAAATTAAAGAATACAAAGTGTATAAAATTGATAAGGGAAGCTAAAGACAACAGGAAAAAATCCATGGCAGGCAGGGGTAAGGACAATAAGAAAGGTTTTTTAAAGTATATCAGGAAAAAAAGGAATCTTAGTAATGGTACACGCCCATTACTAGATGGGAATGGTAAAATTGTTAACACTGACACAGAAGAGGCAGAGGTGTTCAATAACTATTTCCATTCTCTATTTAGCAAGAAGCAGGCTGGTGCACTCGTATTATATTAGGATGAAGTACTTTCCAGTCCATTAGTAACTAAGGAGGATGTTAAACAGCATCTAGTATGGACGAATGATTAAAAATCAGCAGGCCCAGCTAACTTTCACCCAAGAGTCCGATAAGAGTGGGCCAAGGAGATCTCTGACCCGTTTCTGCTCATTTCTAATAAATCTTGGCATACTGGGGCAATTCCATAAGCCCGGAAGAGTGCTAATGTTGTGCCAATATTCGAAAAGGACAAGTGGGACGACTCAGGTAATTATAGGCCAGTTAGCCTGACATCAATCCCAGATAGGGTGACCAGATGTCCCGATTTTATAGGGACAGTCCCGATTTTTGGGTCTTTTTCTTATATAGGCTCCTATTACCCCTCACCCCCGTCCCGATTTTTCACACTTGCTATCTGGTCACCCTAATCCCAGAAAAAATAGTGGATGGTTGATACAGGATTCAATCAATAAAAATGAAAGGATGGCAATACAGTTAATGCCAGTCAAAATGGCTTTAGGGTACATAGGTCCTGTCAAACAAACGTGATCTCATTTTTGGTGAGATAAGTGTTATTGATAAAGGTAACTGCTCAGATGTAATCTACCTAGACTTCTGTAAGGCCTTTCTCTTAGTACAACACAACATTCTAATTAAAAAAATTAGCACTATACAACCTCAGTAAAGCACATGTTCAAATAGATTAATGTCCTGCTTTGAGCAGGGGATTGGATTAACGTCCTGCTTTGAGCAGGGGATTGGACTAACGTCCCGCTTTGAGCAGGGGATTGGATTAACATCCTGCTTTGAGCAGGAGGTTGGACTAGATGACCTCCTGAGGTCTCTTCCAACCCTAGCCTATGGTTCTATGGTCTGGTTAACTGATAGATGTCAAAAAGTAATGGGCTAATGAGGAAGCATTATTGAATGGGGGTGTTTCTTGTAGGGTTCCACGTAGATTGGTGCTAGGCCCAATGCTGTTCAACATTTTTATCAATGACCTGGAAGTGAATAGAAAGTCACTGCTGATCAAATTTGCAAAGATCAGAGGAGTGGTAATTAACGCTGAGGACAGGGCAGACGTACAAAGCGATCTGGATCATTTGGTAACCTAGGCTTGTTCAAACAAAATGTGTTAACGAACTGCAAGGTCATACATCTAGAAATAAAGGATGCAGGCCACCCCTCCAACATGGGGGACTGTATTCTGGACAGCAGCGACTCTGAGAGGGAGTACGGGTCAGAGTGGACAAACAACTCAATGTGAGCTTCCAGTGGAATATTGCCTCCAAAAGGGCGAATGCGATCCTTGCATGGATACACAGGGGAGTGGGCAGTAGGAGCAGGGGGGTGATTTTACCTCCGCATATGGCATTGTGGAGACTGATACTGGAATACTGCATCCAGTTCTGGTGTCCACATTTGGAAAAGGGGTGTTGAAAGTTGCAGAGGGTGCAGAAAAGAGCCAGAAAAACGATGCAAGGGCTGGAGAAAATGCCATAGAGTGAGTGACTTCAATTGATCAACCTGCTTAGCTTATAAAAAAAAGAAGATTGAGAGGTGACTTGATTATAGTCTATAAGGACGTTCTTTGGGGAGAAAATACCAGGTAAAGGGCTCTTGACTCTAGCGGAGGAAGGCAGAACAAGAACACGGGCACAGTTTTTTAACAGTGCGGGTGATTAACCATTGGAACAAACACGGGTGGTATATGAAACCCCCTAGCTAGCCCCTGCCCCTTCCGCCTGAGGCCCCACCCCTACCCTGCCCCTTCTGCCCCCTGTCCCCACCAGAGCCCTGAGCTCCCGATTGTGTATGGAGGACCCCACCCCAGCTGCCCCAAGTCCCGGCCTGCTGGCTGCCCCAGCCGGCCCACCCCAGCTACTCTGACCAGCCCGAGCCTCAGTCTGCCGACCCACCGGCCCGAGCCCCAGCCCCAGTCCCCACTGGCTTTGGGGGAGAGGCTGAGTGAGGGCGAGAAGAGGAGCAGTATGGGCAGGGCCCTGAGGGAAGAGTGGGACGCAGAAGTGGGGCCTCAAGGTGGAGCGTGGACGAGGCCACGCCTGGCTGTGTGGGAAGGCTTAGCTGCCCCTGGCCTACAATTCGCCGCCCCTGGGAACAAACCACTAAGGAAAGTGGTGGGTTCTCCATCTTTTGGAGTCTTCAGATCCAAACTGAATGTCTTTCTGGAAGAAGCTTTAGTTCTTAGTCTCAATGCAGGGTACCTGGGGGAACCTCTCTGGCCCGTGCAATACAGACGGTCAGATCAGATGATCTCATGGTATCTTCTGGTCTTAAAATCTGTGACAGTAAAACCACGATTTTACGAGCACCCGTCCGACGAACGACCAGTTCGACGAGTCACGTTTCCAGACGGAAAAGAAAAAACCACGCAACAAAAGTGACGTCGCTGCAGGACAAGCTGACACCCCTTTGCATTCCGATGCCGTCGGTGCATTGAAATGGCTTGGCAGGGGGTTGAGGGCCAAGAAGAAAGCGATGTGGTGTGCCATACGGCAGCGTATGCACTCGGCGCACTGTGATCTGAGATGTTCGGCTTTATGAGCTGCCGATGTTGTGAATTCCTCAAGCCCCAACGGGTTTGTAAAATAGGAGCTCTGTTGTGATTAAAATCGATGCCAACCCCCTCTCCTCCCCCCCCCACACCCAAAACTTGGAAGTATTTGGATCCCGATGGAGATTTGGCAGCTTGAAGCCCTCTCTGGTTATTATGACCCCGTTTTCATGCTCTAAGGTATCTAGCTCACTAGCTACCCGTTAGTAGCTAACGTTTGTCTCCAGCAACGCAGGAGTTGATGCTTAAAGAAAGAATAACGACTGGTCCCTGCAGAACTGGCTGGTCTGTTTGTCCACCATCCACTCCAAGCCACCCGTCTCAGCACGGAGTCCGCGCAGATGGACTATGCCAGCCCTAAGGGGTTTTGCTGCCATTTCTGCCCCCTGCCCCTCAGCCCGTCCCTTGTGCATTCTGATCCCCCACTAGGCCGAGGGAGGTGATGGGATACGGCTGACCCCCAGCACGGCGAGATCCAGGGATGGCGGGAGCCCCAGTAAGCTCTGTATGCTGGAACCTGGCCCTCGCCCCTGCAGAGTGACCAGCCACGCTCCGCCCCCGCCTGCCCCGCCGCACTGCTCCGGGCGCATGGTTCCAATTAGGAGCGAGAGTTAATCACCCTGCCTGGGAGAGCACTTGCTGACGGACAGTCTCCAGCTGTTGGCCCGGGGAGACCAGGGGAGGGGGCGGGGCGGGGCTGGCTTTCACTTCGCCACTTGGCAGCCGCCCCTGCCAATGGGGTCCGGGGCTGCACTCAGCAAAGAGCCGTAACTGCCCCAGGCTTTGTCTGGCCACGGGCCCGGGCGGCAGAGTTCACGGCTGGATCCAGACTCGGCAGCGGCTGGGCTGGGGAAAGGCAGCCGCAGAGTGTGGAGCCGAACAGCTATAAAACGGGGCGGTTGGCACCCTGGGTATCAGGTTGGGCCCAGCCTCAGTGTCTACAACCCTGAAGATGGGCCCCGGTCTGATTCCCACCCTGCAAGGTGAAGAGTATCCCGTCCAATGGCTCTCCTGATCCAGGTAGGCTGCGAGTGTTTGTATCTCTGGTTCTGCCCCGTTGCTGGCTGGTTCCACCTAGGGTTGCCAACTTTCCAATCACACAAAACCGAACATCCCTGCCCCGTCCCTTCTCTGAGGCCCCGCCCCTTCTCCAAGGCCCCGCCTCCTTCTCGCTCCATCCCCCCTCCCTCCATCGCTCACTCTTCCCCACCCTCACTCACTTTCACCGGGCTGGGGCAGAAGGTTGAGTTGCGGGAGGGGGTGAGGGCTCTGGGCTGGGGGTGCAGGCCCCCTCTGCGCCACTGACTGGACTTTTAACAGCCCGGTCAGCAGTGCTGACCAGAGCTGCCAGGGTCCCTTTTCAACTGGGCAGTCTGGTCGAAAACCGGACACCTGGCAACCCTCGCTCCACC